TAATGTAAATAGAGAGTTGGACGGACGCTCCAGAAGTCTGTGCCGGGCTGTTTACACAATGTTCAATTCTGTTTTTCCTGTGATTTCCTGGACGTTACGCAGAAGCCCGAGATAAGCATGCAGAGGTCAAACAGATGCTCGCGCGCACACACACACACACACACACACACACAGCGCGGCATGGAATAGCTATGCACGGGACACGCTTGAGTTTGCACAAACAGAGGCTGCCTGTCCCCGAGTGGGATGTCCGTCCACAGGGGGACGTGTCTGTGGAGCAGAGGGGAGACCCGGGGAAAAACATAGTGACAGCATTGGTGTCTCACGATCTCGGTGTCCATCACACCATCTAAATAAATGAGTAGCAGCAGAAAAACTCCACCGGGCCTCTGAAACTGGAGCCATTATGAACTGTTCATTATTTTCCAATAAGCCGGTGTGCAAAATATTGTTGAAATTGACCCGAGTAGTTTCTCACCACGTCCAGTCGAATCCCCGCTGGCTCATATCTGCTGCAAATCCTCTGCTCTCGGAGACCTCTTTATGTCGGGACAATTCCAAACGGAGAGAAAACCCCAGAAAGAAATTGATGTCTGGATCGGCAACAAGGAAAATCCATACGAATTGTTGCTCGCTCACTAAATGGCTGCCCGTAACTCCTGTGGTCCTTTCTCACACAGATCCGGTGTTTGATTGATCGGAGGAGAGAAGGAGTTTCACAAGCCTTCACGAGTCTGATCCCTGGATGCTGTTCACTACGTGCGGCGCTAACCTTGCAGAGACGAGAGATTTTTCCTGGTGGAGCTTGCAGTCCATCTCTTTTCTTTTATTAACCATTTTGCTCGTCCACGTTAGTCTTTTTCTTTAATAAGGGCAGCGGTTCTCCTTAATTCATGTCCCTTGAAATGATTCTGTTTTAAGGACTCAGTCGACTTTAGCTGAAGTGGTTTGGGTTAAAATAAGTACCATTGGTGTTATTACGAATGTTGTTTTTGAGTAAGTTTTATTACAAACATGAGCCGCTGTGGACCCGGTGAGGGTCCCGTGTTTGGTAGACCCCTCTATATGTCTCGCAACCTCCCTAAAAGCAGCCCTGCACTTCCTGGCTCACAGTCACGTTAGTCATACGTATATACTAATTACAGGGCATTACTTTTTGTAAAGCTATATGTACAAACAGTAAGTGAAAGTACTTATCACACATTCTGAAAATGTGTGATAACAACCCAAGTCGGGTAAAGATTGAGTTTCCAGCTAATTCACTGAGTCTTGAGTTACTCGAGCGGTTTTCACTCGAGAAAATCCTTCGACGTCGGCTTGAATGATAAGTTGGATAGAATGTAACGATTGCAAATTCTGGATTTTAAGTCTTCCCACATTATCACTGGTAACTTCACAAGTGCCTCGAGCGAGCGCCGCATGATTGACAGGCGTAGCGACAGTAACGAAGGGAGGCTCAGTGATCAGCCAATGGTCTCCTCTGATGCTGTTACGTGGGTCTCCTGTGTATTCTCTGCATCTCGTTTACTTTGACCATCACTATCTTTATCTTTTCTGACAGGCCATTAGTTCTCTGTAAATAGGTTTAATCCCGATGTAATAGAGACGTCATATTCTCATATGTTTTCTTTTAAGAGTAAACCCAAACATAAATACACTGTTGGATGTTGACACAAATTTGCTGAAATGTTTGTGTCCATCTGGGCCTTTCGCCAAGAGGGGACTTCCTATTTTCAGTCCTGCTTCTCAGGCCAACACAACTCCACTCTAGTAAAAGACGGGCACTTTCCTCAAAGACTGTGCATGAGAAGCTCCTTAAAGTAAGAAAATAAACGGCTGTAAGCTCTGTTCATACGGCCTTCTGTTTTTTCTTCTTTTCTGAGCTCATAGTTTGAGTGTTTTTGCAGCATTTGAGTCTTCACCTTCTCCAGTGTGCATACTTCCGCTCTGCCCCCTGAGCAGTTTGGCCAGCAATTTTCCCGTTCAGCCCAATGCATTGTGGGATCCCGCTCCTTAATCCGGGAGGGTTGAAATTGAGTATGCGTTCCCTGCAGCCATGACAAGCGCCCTCTCGTCACAGAAGAGACCGGCGACGCATCCCAGTGACTCCCTCTCTCCTTCAACCCCACCAGTTGCCCCCCAAAACCTTGCCAGGGAGAAGTTGGAAAGGTGGTTGGATGGGGGCGGGGGGCGGGGGGGGGTCATCGAATGATTTGACCTTGTGAGAGGGGCTGTGTGCTAATGTGACTGTCAGGGCTGCAAAGAAGGGCTCCTGCAATCAACCACGTGGCCGTGCACGGATGCAAAGCGCCGCGCAGACGGAGAGGCCATGCAGCGGAATATTTAACAGCTCCCCGAGGGGCAAATAATATCGCAGCAGATATGAAACCTAGAAATGCTGTCTTGGGTGTATTTACAGAGAGGTGAATCTGGGCTGCAGGAATCAGTGGCGGCTGGAACAAACACACATTATTACTTTTTACAGTTAAATATTTAACAGATATTGTATTTAAACAATTCAGTAAATCACTTTGTATATCACATGATATAAATATACTTTACTATATAATCCAATAGAACATGTGTGTGTGTGTATATATATATATATATATATATATATATATATATTAATTGATGCCCCTATGGATCAAGTTTCTTGGGGAAACACCCGATCGGTGTGTTGAGGAAAGACCAACTAAAAAGCCCCACAAAACGTATATACAAAATAATGTAGTGTGTTTTCCTCCACGTCCTGGTTGTGTTTCCTCGCCGCGTGTTCGTTCGTTCAGCTGTTCATGTCCATGCTGGATCTCTCCCTGTTGTTTTAAAAAGCAGTCCGGTCGGGTCGTCTCTGGAGATTATTGCTCGCGCTCACCATTGTCATGCCATGAAAAGGGCGCCTCGCGACACCGGCCCTGATGAGAATGCAGCCTTGGGGCCAAACGATGATGGCCCATGGCTGAATCTATTTAAGGATGCTGTTTGGCTACATTTTATATCATTAATTTATATCTTTAATCTTCAGTAATTACTAAAGAACAAGCTAAACTGCTTCTTACGCCCCAGCCCAGCTGAGACATGCAAACAGGCGGAAAAGACATGCTGGGAAAGTATGCATTTTGCGCAGATATCATAGTTTAAAAATATTACTGGGTATATTCCATGAAATGTATGATTTTATGTTGGAGGGTTTTTTGTGGCCAACCAGCCAAAATAAATGACCACTAATCCTCAATAGGGGTACTTCACTACCTGAGACGTCCTGACGTATTGTTGTGTTCAGGCATACGTGGTGCACTTCATTAGCAGACCTGGTCGGGCATCTGAAATGTCTCTTCTCTCGAGCAGCAGGTATCACGGCAGGCCTCATGCTCTAATGAGTCACAGTGGGATACTGTGTTTGGGGCTTATCAAACGTCCTGCTAAAGATGTTTTATCATTCTACCTATAAGTTTACATTTGATCTAGTTCAAGTTAACCATAGAGAGTAGTGAATTAGGAGGTCCTCAGAGGTTAGGGAATAAATACCAGTTTTTTCACCGACCTCACAAGAGTAGTAATACTAGTGTGTGTGTGTGTGTGTGTGTGTGTGTGTGTGTGTGTTTACGTGATTGTTTTCTTGCCTGTGTTTTCACTCTGGTGCGTTTTGAGGGAAAGCTGAAGGCCCAACGTGCTGAATAATGGGACACGACTTGTCTCTGTTTGTGTTTTTCCCCGCCAGTAACACAGGAAAACAGGAACGCAGGAAGCAAAAAACATCACTAAAGGGACATATTCTACAGTTTTTACAGTTGAGCAGGAACATAATTTCATTAATTAAAAAAAGGAAACTGTATCGTCTGTCACTGAAGTAATCAAAATGGAGGCAACGCATTGCCCCTGAATATTTATTCATCAGTTAAAAATCCCTGTGGTGCAATTCATTGATTTGTTTGCTCTTGTAATGTCAGTGAATGGATGATTGAATTGTGCTGAACCAGCCATTTTTTTTAAGCTTTTCAATTAGTCCATATTTTGACATGGAGGAGCAGAGGATGAGCGGTGCTTTGGGTCATTACATCCTGAGCACAGACGGCCATAAACAAGACAGAGACGTGGCCTGGATGAGAAATTTACAACCGCAATTGCTTCGGACATAAACCCTTAACTTTGGGGAACATTTCGACAGTCAGACGATAAGCAATTTAACAGCCATTAAAATACGATTTTTTTTTGTGGCCAGCTATGAGTTCCAGAGACCGTACATAAGAACACAGTGACTCCATTGATTCGTTGCTGTTTTGAAGCAGCCACCTTGTGTTTTTGCAACCAGAAGTGACAGAAGAGGGCGGAGCCAAAATCAACCAATCGAATAAGACTTTTCTAGACTCCGGAAAAGATTATGATTATCTTTAATGCGGTGAAGTTGAAAAGGCTTAAAGTTGTATGAAGTAAACACGGACAACTCACCAACTGGACAATGTGTGCTAGTCACCTGTCAATCACAAAGTAACCCTGCCCTGCTTTAATTGGGCCAGGATTAACTAAATGAATATCCTGCTGTATTGAATGTGTAAAATCTTGACTGAGGTAAAAAATCTATTGAGAAGGTGGGTCATTGACAAGGACAGCGGTGAATAACCAAAGTAACTTCACGAGCTTGGCCATCCCTGACAGTCATCTTGAAGACTTAAATATACGGTCAGACTTCTTTTGGCACCCAGAGGCGTCGCCCCCAGCTGGGCATTACGCAGAATGCAGCTTTAACCCACTTTGACCTTCAGACCCAGAAGGTTGCACTAACAATCATTTCAACTCAAGGGGAAAATATTTTGAATTCGGCACAATACATGCTGCTGATTATGACTATTTTACCTCCATGTCAGGGAGGATAAAATGATGACATTTTGGTCGACGTATACTTTAATGCGATGAGGTGGCTCCACTGTTGTAACAATTACCAAATCTCCAGTTGTTCCACACATAACATCATCTTCATCACATCTTCTGCTCCTCCACAGAAACCTGAGTAACAACAAGATCTCCCTGCTGAGGAACGGCTCCTTCTACGGCTTGGCTGCCCTGGAGAAACTGTGAGTACTTAAATCAAGCTCTCTTTTACTATCGTCCTAATAGCTGTCGCATCGCTCCGCACTAAAGGAAAAGGGAAAAGAGACACGGTGGGAATTAGAAAGATCCTTGTCGACGGAAAGCTTGCCAGCAGTTTTTCCACCTTTCAGACCTTGTGCTTAGCCTCAATTGCCACAGTAAGTGTCCTAAAAGAGCTAATATATGTTATCAGATAAAAGGCCCAATGCGGTGCGTTCTGACAGATGGACAGACGGAGCGGAGTCCACTGCCGATAAGTCCCCGCGTCACATGCAACGTCCCCCGAGGCTTTTCATGTGCGCCGCCTGATGATGAGCTGATGAGCTCCGTGATGGCTGTCATTTCACCCCTCCCCCCCCCCCCCCCCCTTGCCCTCCCCCCGAAGCCCGCTATTGATTGCCATCTCCACCGCCGTCCAGCGGCCCAGCGCCTCTCCACCTGATGGCGACGCCGACGTTGGCTGACGATGAGGAAATCAGCGAGTGGCTGAAATCACACGGAGAGGACGGCTTAATGGCTCTTTCCCTTTCCGTCGATCCCCCCTCAGATGTACTCAGATTAAGCTCACACGCACGCAACGCCACATAAGTGACCACTATGAATGTTATCACGCTCAACACCCCCCGTCTCCGTGACTGCAGTTGGATTCACATTGTGAGTCGCTCCGCCACCCCCACCGCTCCTTTTTTTTTTTGGGCGGCTGTGTCGGCAGTCAACATATGTGTCGCACGTCACCCGGAGGCCTCATTAGAGCCATTAAAGCGCTCGCCGACATCCCTGAGGCTCCACAGGTGATGGAGAGGAAACCCGGCCAAAGGTCTGGCTGAGGCGGACCTCTCTGAGTGGCGTTTGTCTTCACCTGCCTCTCCGAGTACAGGCCGACCATCCGTAGTGGAGGTCCAGATGTTCCCTCATCTGGCTCGGCCTGCCTGACTCGAGCGGATGGGACGGTTGTGGTACATTTTCAGCTGATTGACAAGCTTAATTTCTATGAAATGCAAAGAAATTTAGGCTCTGCTGATTTAAAGGCATGGTTGGTCATTAATGATTATATTTTTGTTACCATCGTCCTAATGGCAATCAAGGAATCAAACAAATGTAAGAATTACGGTACCATCTGTTGCAGTGGGTCTGTAATAAGCCATCATTTCCTATGTGACGGTCCGAATGCAATAATTGGACACACTACCATGGATGTCTACCTACCGGAGCGTATTCTGTGCAGTCATTACTCGTCAGAGTCTTCCGCAAACTTCTAGCTTGACAGCTGCTGGCACTAATAGTCATGTTCGTTGTTCGGGTACCTCATTTAATTTTGGGGGATTTGCTTTGGAGGGAGGTCTGAAGACACAGGCTGTCAGTTTTGCCAACTTGGCATCTTTCTTTGCTAGATTTAGCGACTTTTGGAGCGCATGCTGCTAGCTACTTTCATTTGGAAATTATTGGTAAATCTGGGATGGGTTTCGCCTGCATATACTTGCTAGTGTTTCAATTTTGCAGATAGCAGCATTAAATTCCACAACATGTTTTCTCATTCACTCCTGGTACGTGCAGATTATTTTAGTCTAATTTGTCCTGACATGCTTCTGCTTTCACCCCAATACAATGGAGGGGGTAGGAATCTCATTGCTAGAGACATAGCATGTTACAAATAGCACTATGGGTAATGAGAGAATTATTTTTTTTCTGAAACAGAAGTTATAAAGCTGGAAGCCCTCTGATATTGTATAATAAGTACAGTTATAAAACCTCACTAGGTCTTCAATCCTCAAACCACCTTCATGGCATTCCAGTCAAATGCACCTCAGCCAAACGTAATAATAACAAGCACAGAAAAAATGCATTTGTTCGATGCAGCTTGAATAAACGTTACTCGATGTTTAATAATAACACACATTTGTTTACTTGCTCTTGCTGTATATTTCCCCTCTGAATGTGCCACATTGTGTTACAATTCCGTGACACTTGTTGTTGTTAGCCTTCCTCAAACAGGTCCTGATGCCTTGTTGGCTTCAGATGACGCTTGGATCCCCCCCACATGGGCCCAGGCCCGCTGCCATCGGCCAAGCTGTGCCCAACGGCAGCAAAGCGGGAACAAAGCCCGTCACTGTTCGCTGGTCAGAACCCTGAATGTAGCTTTGGGTGATGTTTTTGCAGCATTACTTTATCGCATCACAGTGGAGCAACGTGCGTTGCCGTAGATTCCTTGACATTCCTTTTGGCTGCAAGAGCTATTTCTATTGTTGTGTCCGGGGATGCGCCTAAAATGTAAAGGTGTATTCTACTGTCTATCAAAGCAAACGTGGAGGAATTCAGTGAACAGACACCTGCCGTGACTTTTTATCTCTAATATCTACTTTGGCTAATTCTGAAAAGCAGATGTCAATGTGTCGTGTCGCCCCTTCACAATGTTTTGCCACTCCGGTCGGTCTCATCTTTCGAGGTTGGACATTAAGTGGAGCCACGGATCATAACAGTGGGTTGGGATTGTATCGCAGCTCAGAGTCACAGAGCAAATAGAATTTGACATTGAATATTTTTTGTTTAATTAGAGAATCTTGTCGACAAGCTCAAGACGTCTTTGTTATCCCTAATATCTATTTATGTTATTCATTAAAACTCTAAAATGGTTACATCTGAACGGTAAAAGTGATATTTACCTTCGCTCAATACCTATTTTCACAAAACGGCGCGTGAATGCATCCAATTCTCTCTTATTGTCAATATACTCTGGCTTTTTGAGCAACAGTCTTTCTCAGGGACTCTCCTGCAGTATTGGTGTTTGCGTTGTAGTTTGTTATTAAATAAGAAACTCTGCTGTATTGCATGTTTTTAATGCCGAGGAGGTTAAGAAATAAAAGATTATTCAAATACAAAATTTGAAAACCTGAATACCTCCTATGAATAACAGGAATTTCCAGGGAAAGTCTGGAGCTTCTTTACTTTCTTAGGATGCCAATATCTTCGCAGCTTTAAAACCGAGTCACTACAGTCTCTTAAAGCTTGTAGACTGTGTTGTCTCTCGGCAGTATCAGCACATAAGTCATATTTTGATTAATATTCTTATTGTGCTTCAGCATAAACATACTCCAATTCAGTTTCTGCTGTTGCACAGCAGTATCGAGACGTCCCTCTGCCATGTGAAAGCCTTGCTTATTGTTTTTATCGGTTTACAGAACATGATGTAAGAGGAAGCCTTAAATTGATCAAAGCGCAGTCTTGAAATATTAATGCTTTTATTGTTATTTCACAGAAGGCCGTGTGCACCATGGCTGTAAGCGCTTTTCTGACCAGGTTTGGAGGGACAGAGAGGACAAATTCTTCTTATTCGCCTCCCCTGTGGTTCACTTCTCCGGGCTGTTTATCACAGATTGTCTCCCACAGTTAAAAAAAACTAAAAACAAGAGGCAGATGGATGCTGGAGACCTGGTAATTTCATAGAAAGACTTATAATATTTATTTCCATCTGGGCTACATTGGGAGTTAAATCTTGTTTTGTTTTGCTATTTAAAAAAGAATATCAAGAGAGCAAAAGGCCGTGCATCAAAAGCATCTCTTGGAAGAATTCGCTTCACACTCTCCTTGAACTCTTGCTTTGTTCTGATAGAAATATCTCACACTGATGAGAACAGTGGTTCCAAAATAGGACACAGTTTCGGCGCTTATTAACTAAGAACGCGTCTTCTTCACAGTTCAGGGTCTCGCTGAGCTTTTTTCTGCTCAATCTGTTGTTCAAATGCTGCTCTCGGTTACATGCTATTACTTAATCTTTATAATCTCCAAATACCCCATAATCAATGTTCAACTGTGTTTGAGAAATGTTAATCATCTTCTCTTCGGATTGTGGAGACGTTTAAGTGGCAAAGGCCCTTTTTTCTCGTGAAACCTGTGTGGTTTTATATACCCTAAATATGCAGGCACAAAACGACCATCTTTACATTGACTTGCATTCATTTTGATCGGTCTATATGTCTTGAATAATGAATAACTGTCGGCCTTCGTGCCGTACTGTGGCTAATACTTCCATGATGCAGACACACACAAAGGAAAAACCACCTGATGCTCTGTTAGCGGTAGCCACAAGCTTGTTGCTATGCCTACACATGACGTCTGTGTGATTAGACCGAAATGTCCGAAGGTCCACCTTCTCTTTTTTTTTTTCTCTGCCAGTGAGCTTTCAACACAATTTACAATCCAGTCGGTGGTTGTCGGTCTCGCTGAGTGTTTGCTTTAATTCAGTGTGGCCAGACCTCCCCTCAAAGCATCTGCAAAGTGAACCATGAATAATTAATGTGTGAATAAATGGTTTTAATAAACAGATTACACAGCAGCATCGAGGTTGGTGCCAATTTATCATCAGCGCTGTTAGTGACAGAGTCAATTAGAGTCTTTGAACAGAGCGTCAGGAAAGGACTTCCTGCATGCAAAGCCAAAATATTTAGTAGATCCCGTATCGGCCTCTGACTCATGCCGCAATAATAGTTTTCATTCAGATCATCTTTGAATGAGTTTTTTCAGTTGGTTAATGATTTGAAGTCCACAAAGAGCTACACAAACCGTAAAGGTGCTAGCAGCTCGATCCGTCGTAATAGCTAAATGCTAGCACCCTCTTGCTAACACACCAAAGTGCATTTTAACATGCTTTAGTGTCAATGTTCATCACTTGTCAGCCTTTTAACTTTTACAAATTAGCACCGAGCACAAAGTTCAGCTGGGACTGACGGGGATGTTTAGTTAAATTTAGTCCTAAACAAAACATTCCGATTTTGACCTGATGATGGCGCTGTTTGAAAAGTTTGAGAATAATGAAAGTTGATGCAATTCATTCCGGGGAGGTGGTGCTAAAGGTCAAGTCAAGCAATGTTGGTTGCTAAAAAGGATTCAGCCTCTGGGAACAATGACAAAATGTTTCTGCCAATCAGATCAGAACCTGAAGCCAAGTCAAGACGTTTCAATTGTTATATGAAACTTTGAACCTGCTGGTCACAAGATCGCAAAGAATCCTCTGATAACCATGAATATATGTATAAAAGCACATGGCAATGCGCAGTTGTCCAACACTCTGAAGTGATCATTAGAGATTATTACTTTGCTGAAAACAAGGAGCCTTTACGTGGACAGCTGCAGACACCGACGTGTCGCTGAGAAATACGCTCCAAGCTGATGGATGCATGTCGTCGCCTGTGCACACACATCACTTTGCATTTGGAGGGATGGACGCAGCATGAAGCAACAGTGTTTTTTGCTTATGTACTTAGTGTAGAGTTTGCCCTTTTGTGAAATCTGATTTTTCTAACGACATTGAGATCTTTTTAATGAGACTCTGCGTAAATAAAGTAGTGTGTCAAAGGGAAAGGAATGCTCTGTCTCCAAGCAGCGTCTGCAGACGTGGGTGTGTGTGTGTGTGTGTGTGTGTGTGTAGTCAAGTCCGTGTGTGTTTAGTTGTGGCAAATGCATGTGTGCGCGCGCACCACATCAGTGCAACTGTGCGATGTGGTAATCATCCAGATTCGGGGAGGATTCTTCCCATTAGTGTCACATAGTGAGGGGGCCGATATCCTCGAGGTCGCGCGGCTCGGGAGAAATTGAGCAGGCTTGAATATACAAAGCAGTTTAGATTAATTGGGGAGCACTTCAGTGGCTTTTCAAACATCCACCGCAAACGTCAGAGTTTTATCCTGTGGGCTGCTCCTGCTCTTCAAACACGCCGGGATGGGGGAGCGGGAAATGGTTATTGTTTAAACATTAGCCTCATTTGAGCTGCTCCAGCTGTATCTACAGTGGTTATGTGGGGCGAGTCTAGTTATAATTTGTCAGCGTGTGTCTGTGTGTGTGTGTCTAGCGGTTTTTGTTTTCCTCTTATTTGCTGTTTTTAATTGTCTTTTAATTCCTGCATTTTCACTTTATTGTATGAAATGTTATGATGTGAAGCACTTTGAGTCTGCCTTGTGTATGAAAAGCGCTATACAAATAAAATTGCCTTGCTTTGCCTTGAGTGACGAGAGAAGCAGGTCTTTGTTTGAGACGAACTATTATCAAAGACAGTACTTTGAGGCAGTACAATTTTACTGCCTCATATTTAATAGTAATCATTTTAATATTTATTTTGCATTAAAAGCCTCAGGTAGCAGAACCTCCTCTCCTCCTCGGAAAGGCGTTCACTCATCAGCTCCACCACTCTTATTTGATTTTTGAAAAGAAAACCCACTTTTGGACACAACTTAACATAACTTTCACTTTCCAGATTAACAGGGGCTTGTTTACCATTTATAATAAGCGATTTCTTTTGTGATACATATAAAATGAATCTAAATGGTTGAGTGGTTGTTACCAAATCAGAAATTGCGTACAACGGACAAAACAAAACAAAAAAAATCATCTCCGCAGCACTTTATTCAGAATCCTGTTTTTGTGTGATTCAGCTTGGTAAGAAGGTTGTGGATTTGGTTCGATCAGCCCCCTGAATTCCAAACACAAGCAGAATGGCTAAATCCTAAAGCTCTGAACGGGCTGCAGGTGATCATGTGTTTGTCGTCTCCTTGTGACCGTTAGCAGGATGGATGGGAATATATCTGAATGGGAGGGATGAAGTAGCTTAAGTCTGGACTTTGTCTTAATGATTGAGAATAAATATGGATCCCAGTTAAGTGAGAGAGAGAGAGAGAGTAAATAAGGGCTCCCATCAGTGGCAGGGACGTCTCTACTGCACATCGCTGCTGGACTCCAATACATATTTCCACAGTATGTAGTGTAAACACATTTTACAGTTGTTACACTGTTTGCAGTACCAGACGTGTGGAGTTTACCGACAGCAGCGATTGATGCTAAATGGCTTTTCGAATACTTGCCTCCGATTTCAAGAATGTTTGGCACTCGTTCGGTCATTTGATGTGGCACACACATCACCTGTCTGCAGCCTCAGCGGTTTATTGCTCATAATCAATTGCATTTATATCCAGATACTTGTTGGCTCCGGTCTGATGGCTAAGAAAGGATTGTTTCATGTGGTTTGACCTCATACAGGAAGCCAGTATTGAAAATGATCTTTTAATGAATACTATCAATAAAGCAACTATTGGATGTGTTGATTGTTCCAGGGACATTATTAAACTGTATGCAGCATTCCTAGATATCCTTTGTGTAAGCGCGTAGCCCCAATGAGCAGCGACCGCTGGCCCTCGATAAAGCAGACAGTCAATAAGGTGGAAAGTTCTGAACATTCAGCAAATTCGGAGCCGATAGAGTAAAGAGCTGCGAGACGGTTCAGGATAAAAGGAGAAGCTGAAGGCGCAACGGACGGCCTTCTGACCTCCACCCTCCACCCGCTCTATGGTAGCATTTTGTACATGATCAAAGACTACTTTGGAGGAGAGTGCAGATGAGAGGCAGCGAGCCGACCGCAGCAGCAGGTCAGTCTGTCAGGAAGGCAACGTCAGCGCCCCTCCCAAGATGTGCTACACCGTTTCTGCAGGATGTGTGAAAAAAAAAAAGTCTTATTAGGAATCCTGATTGTGATTGAGCAGAATTAGAGAGCTGGTGTATGAGCGTATTGAGGTGAAACCAAGGCGGATCACGATAGGAAAAAGCGTGATCAAGAAATGAATACAGGTATTAATTAAGCGAAGGCTGAATATAAAAAGTGAACCTAGTCACCATGAAACTCTTATTGGTTTGTGCACTGCAGTTTGGAAGCCTTGTGGTTTGCGCTTTGCCCGTCTTCAGTATGTGAAAAACACACTGTGATAGCTTTGAAGTTCTAAGTAGAAATCACAGAAAACTCCACAAACTGACCACCGTGGTAGAACCTGTCAATCAAAAGCCAGCAATGCCTAAAGCCTGACCTGTTTTTCTATTTTAATTGGAATGGCACCATCATTCTCTCTTGTTATCTTATCTTAGTTAATATTATTTTTTCCAACCAGAGGATGCACCAATGATTTCCAGTAACGGGAATAAAGCTCCAAGGCGTCACTTTTCACAGGAGCTTTTACACAGTTCTTTGGGAGAAGAAGTCCGGCCACAACCCGGCTGGGGAGCTGTGGGGGAGTCCTAATGGTGCAGACACAGTGTGTTTTCACCATGGGCCGAACAATTTAGAACCAGATACAGATCATTAACCCCAGATGGGAGTCATTTTTCTGCTGCTAATGATGGCTTGTCTTCTGCACGTGTAGCTAATGCGTTATCTTGACCAGATGAAAAACAGCTACTGTGAAAAAGGGTTGAGGCTTCTCATGCAAAACATCTCTTACAGTTGTAATCCGTGTACCGTCCGTCAGAAGTACTCCACGGGTGCTTTCCTTTCTATTCTGTACTCGATGAAGAATGGCGAGTTCCTCAGCTCATGCTTTGATTACGCAGAAGAGAGCTTTTTGCGAACAAAATGCCCCATGTGTCAAATAAAAAAGTTTTAACAGGATTTTTATTTTCGCTTTGGGACAATGGCGTTGTTCGTCATACTCGTGTGGGTCTTGTTTTGATTCTTTTGGCTGACCCTGGTCCAGACCGTGAGGATGTTTACTTGATAAAAAGACGTTTTTGGAGTTGAGCTACATTGTTGCTCACATTTGTGAAAAAGTAAAATTACAAAAAAAGAAAGGGACTACCCTTCTTCTCATTCACATCTCATTCGGCATACAGCACAAAGGAAGCCAGGGACACAATTTCAGGAAGTTTTCTTTGGCTTGCAGAGAAAGCCTGTGAGGAGATTTTTCTGAAATCCATTTTTAGTAGCGTCTAAGGGTCGGAGGTGTTCAGGGGGTTTGGACAAAGGAGTGCATGGCTGAAACCGCACACAGCACACAGAAAATGGTCTATGCTAAGAGGTGCAAGTTAACTCAGCAATGAACAGCTCCAGCATTTCTAGATGACAATAATGTATGAACAAACTAGTTAATTCAGAAATGAGACCTAACTTAAGATATAAACTCAAGTGCTCACTTGGATTGCTTTGGTCAAGCTGTGAAGTTGATCCCTTTTCCCAAATAGAAACCCATATTCTGTGAGCTACATGTAGATAACATCCTCGTCCCCGTGTTTCTTTGGAGCGGGCAGGTTTAGACAGAGAGCGGCATGACCTGTCAGAAGAAATGCGTTAATGTTTGTAGACAGTCAGATAGTCAGACTTAACAGTCGTCTGACTCCTACCCTCTCTCCCTCTCTCCCTCTCTCTCTCTCTCTCTCTCTCCTCCAGGTACCTGAGGAATAATTTGATAAGTACAGTGGAGCCCGGGGCCTTCCGTGGTCTGCTGGCTCTGAGGAGATTGTGAGTATGATGTAGCCCTCTAATAGCCTTCTCCAGGGGACCTGGGGACAAGTCCTCCGGCTTTAGAAACAACTACAGGGAGAGTCTAAGAGTCTCAAAGTACAGAGTGAAGCGAGGAATGACAGGTTTAACTGAGGGAAAAGCACTAAAAATACTCCATCAATCTTTTCTGACGCAATGCCTGGTGAAGGCACAATGGTGTTTTTCTTGTAGCAGAAGAGTATAGCGTGTGTGTCATACGCTTTCTCCTCTGGGATTTTACTACTCATCTTCTGAATATGTTTAAGCAAGACTAGGCTAACGTTTTCTAAAAGGCACATAGGGTTGTCTTCTGCCTCGCATCGGCCTTAAGTCTGCTGTTATAAAGGTTCGAGAAATTCAGAGTACGCCTCTCAACGGTTGTAAGCATGGCACCAGCTGAGCTAACAGTGCAGCTAACAGTCTAGCTAACAGTGCAGCTAACGGTCTAGCTAACGGTGCAGCTAACAGTGCAGCTAACAGTGCAGCTAACAGTCTACCTAACAGTGCAGCTAACAGTCTAGCTAACGGTGCAGCAAACAGTGCAGCTAACGGTTCAATTCAATTCAATTCATTTCATTTTGTATTGCCCAAAATCGCAAATTACAAATTTGCCTCAGAGGGCTTTACAGTCTGTACACATACGACATCCTCTGACCCGAAACCCTCACATTGGCACAGGAAAAACTCCCCAAAAAATGAAAAAAAAAACCTTCCCAGAGGGAAAAAAAGGGAAGAAACCAGCTAATATATATATAACGTTATATATATAAACCACTAACACAGAAAACAGTGTAAACCTGTACGTGAAACTGAAGAGTAAGTAAAGTTCGCAATGACGCAGTTTTTTATTTTCTACTAGACTTAAAATGCACAAACTGTTGAGTTTTTTTCCCTTCCCCTGCAATATGAATATGTATTGATTTTATCCCTTCGTCTCGTCGTGGCGTTCTACATATAGCCTCCTGAGTGAGTGACATAATTGCTGCCTGATAGTGATGGGCTGGCAGGGATGCAGGCGGTGAGTTAGCCGCGCTGATTCGGGACGCGTGTACGCCAACCTCGGGGAGCAGCAGAGTGCTAATTTAAGTGCTCCCCAACTGGTGATTACTCGAGTGCTGCGCTTATTTTCCCACAGCTGCTCCGGCAAAGCAGCTCTTTAATTACGGAGTGCGAGGGCACGGAGTCACGGACGCGAACAGCGCTCAGCCTCCCTCCGCAAACGGAAGCCTGCTGAATTTCCACGTGTGTGTGTGTGTGTGAATATCGGGGAGTTTGTGTGTGTGTGCGCCTGCGATGGTTAAATGAGATGTGAAAGGTTACAAAAGGTCAGGAGAGCTATTCCAGGAAGCGGAGCCCATGAATGAACGCGGCTTTCTAAAACCTTCCACAGCTGTTTAAGTTCTGTCATTTCACAGGGCGAACCTGCAATACAGATAATAACGGGGAAACGTGTCGTACGTTGTGTCAGGTTCTGACTATATCGTCTGTAGGATGTTCACAGCTGACATTTTCTTTTTTTGTCCTCCAAGGGACCTGTCTAACAACAGGATTGGCTGCCTCTCGTCTGAAATGTTTCTCGACCTGGGCAGCCTCTCAAAATTGTGAGTAAACCCTAAATTGACGACATTTGTCGCACAGCTTTGTGACTAACGCGCTTGATATGGATTTAGTAACGTCTGCAGTTGTTTGGCTTTGACGCTTGACCTGTTTTTGGATGCATGTCTGTGTCTGTCTGATAGGAATTTATCCGGGAACATCTTCTCCACCCTGAGCGTGGGACTCTTTACGCACCTCGTGGCTCTCAGAGTGCTGTAAGTCAACCCACACGTGCATCGCATGCGCACAATAATTCATTCAGTTGTGTTCGGGAAAAAAAAAAATCTTTCCAATTTCCACTTATAGCAGGAAGGTGCGCAGGTGTGACTAATGACATTAATGGTGGCTCCGTTCTGTGTTAGTGAGTCAGAATGCACAATACCTGGGCTCTAATGCCCTGGAGCTGGCAAATATTAATTCCATCAATTACAATCACCGTGTTTTTATTCCTGTTGGGACAAAAAAAGCCTCCTCTGCGCGTTAAACGAAGGCGCTCGAATCCAGCAGGTTGTGAATGTGTGCTTGTTCTTCTCCCCGCCAGGCACGTGGGCACCGAGACTTTGTTCTGCGACTGTCAGGTGAGGTGGCTGCTCCTCTGGGCCCGAAGCAACTCGGTGAGGATCGGCAACGACACGGTGTGTGTGTTCCCCACACACCTCCACGGCCTGGAGTTCCGCAACCTCCGCGAGCAGCAGCTCGGATGCGGTAAGGAGCCACAGTGCCGTAGAGGAGTGAGGAGAACGTTGTGGGCACGACGCAAACGTATTAGCAAAGCCTTTGTTTATTAGCTATTAGCACCAAGGGCTGTAAGCTAAGAACATGGGACTGTGGCTAATTTACTTGTATTATGCAGCTCAAAATACATGTCACCCATACAAATATGTTTTAGTAAACAATTATAGTGTTTTTGTATATTATAAAAGCTTGAATTAACATTATGGTGATACATTTTTTTCCTCCATCAGACGGAATTTGTAGCACAATTCAGAATATTCATCAATACCTTTTGGGTATATTTATCATTCACAAGAGTGCAAAGTGCAAAAAATAGCTGTCAGCAATTACAACTCCTGACAGAACACTACAAGCTTTAAAGAGAGCAACAGGTTTTGAAGTGGATCCTGTGTATTTCAGAGAATTACGCCTAGGCTCTGTAATTCTGTACCTACTTACTAAAATAAAATTCTGATACATCGATGAATTAATTTGGTTTAATTCGTTTGCCTTTTGGCTTCTGTTTGCCTGTGTATGCAAATCTTTGTCAGATTCTGCTCAGTAATTTGATCTTGCTCCGACTTTTGACTTATTTGAACTAAAATGATCAAACGGCAATAACAAAATAATAATTTTCAAATATGTCAAAATAATTTGACATGTTGTCAGTGAAAGAACCAATCTTTTAAATTGTTATTCAAAACTGACCTTTTTACTGAGCCAAACGTCACCCACAACGCGAGGGATATCTTTACACCTGAGGAAAGTCTCGTGAGACTTCTCATTAGCAGTTCACTAACATTGCATTTTCAAGTGGTTACCACCCTGGGAACATGATTAAGTAGATCTCTTCTGATAATAGCTCCCCCTCTCCGCTGTTATCTCTCCACTTGCCGTGAACTGTTTGACAAGCCTAATACGAGGGAATGATTTAGTGAAAGATTGCCAGACAGGGAAAGCCGCAGGCGAAAAAAGGGTCTCCTGACATGGTTTTTGAGCGGCGTTCGCCCTGTTATGTGCTCTGGAGCACCTGAGTTAGAAGCCAGAGGAGCGTGTTGCTCGGTTTGACAACGTCGGAATCAGCTGAGGAAGCGTGTGCTCACTAAAGCGTTTCACACTTGAGCTGCTGGCTGCTGTACTGAAGTTGTGCAGTGGCCAGTGTGGGCAGGTTATCTTTGAGGTGGGCAGTTGGGGTCGTTTCTGAATTTGCCGCAAGAGGCCGGTGAACAAAATCCGGTCTGCTCAGTAAAACCATTCCAATAGTTATAGTGTTTGAAGATAAGCTGTTCCGTTTTGTCAAAATGACACGGCATGGTGAGTATTTGCCCTCCGCCACAGCGGACAAAACTCTTAGTGGAGCTGTGTGTTTTATGTAAGAGGCGGAAAAAATGTTCAGGAAAAACAATTTCAATGCAATATTTGCAGCGTGCTGCTTCCAGACTACACGTTGCAGTTGGTGCACCAAACTGTGTTTTTAGCTGCAACAGAGTGGCCGCAGGAAAGAGGGCTCCAAGCGTCTTTACTCCCCTTTCTCCGTCTGACAGACGATTACAGACAGGCGATCCCCTGGTGGCCCCCAGTCCTCCCCCCCCTCCTCCCGGTCGCTCTATCGCCCTGCTCCATGCGGCGGAGCAGGGCGATTTCAGAATGAGAAAAGGCAAATCAGTGAATAGGGGACGGGGGGCATCACATGAAGATGTGACACTGTGCAGTGAACATACAAGGATATAAATGTGTCTCCCCCCCCCATCGCTCATCCACACAGGCCGCGCCGGCCTGACGTGCGCGCAGACACATTTCCGAGTCATTCCATGTGAACCTAATTGCATGTCTTATTATTTCATTTACACAGAACAGTCCAAAGCAATTACCGGGTCATTCTGAGCCAAAAGGGGAAACCGGTGGCGGGACGAGGAGCGCTTCTTTTCAGACCCTAAAGCAACCACTACGGGATTACAACAATCGCTTTGTGGGCTCGCCGCTCTCGCCGCCTGCCTCGCCACAGCACGACTCCATCGCACAATGCCCCTCTAACACTTTTCATTTGGGTACGTGGCGTGGCGCTCTAGCAGTCGTCTTTTTAAAATGTCTGTTGGTGGTTGTTATTTTAAGCACAAAGGGATGTGGTACACCGGCGCACACTGACCGGTACGGATGGAATATTACTCAGAGCCAGATGCTGGGTTCTCGTCCCCCGTCACTCGTAAGACCGGCGTGAATATGAATATTTTCCCTGTTGCGATATCCCCAGCATAGCTTTTTTATGAAGTCACAGGCGATGCATCTGTTTCTCCCTACCGGCGGCCGCAGCTTGATGGCTAGCAGATGTCCCCAGCAGGCATTCCTGCAGGGAGCCCCTGTCCCCACGCCGGTACGGGTCGGGTACCGCCTGCCAATGAGGGGGAACGGAGGAGCGCGTGCAGCCTCCCATCAGGATCAGGCGCTTCCTGCGTCGGGGGTCAGGGCGGGCGTCTGTTCAGCTCATCTGGCAACAGCCCACATCCCCCGGTTCTCCAGTATCACGGCGCAGACGTAAAGGCCGGAGCTGGAATGCTGTTATCTGAAAAGACGAGCCCGAGCTTTCTAATGAGTATTTATTGCATGATGACACAGCAGCGCAACTGCCCTCCATCGGCATCTTGTCATTAAATGAAATGTCTCATGATCACTGATGGTAAAAGGCCATGAAGTATTACTGGAGGTAGCCTGTCATAAAGGTCTTTGAACTGCAGTCAATACCTTTTTTTTTAAAACCAGTTGCTTTGAGAAAAGGATAATGAAGGCTCTTAGTAAAAAACACACACAGCTGTTAGTCTGAGAATGACAGTTTCTATATAAATCATCAAAATACAACCTTTTTGTTGTGTAAATTAACAGGGCAACATCTCTCTTCGTACCATATACAGAATATATATATATATATATATATATATATATATATATATATATATATGTATATATATATGTATGTATATATATATATATATATATATATATATATATATATATATATATATGTATATATATATGTATGTATATATATATATATATATATATATATATATATATATATATATGTATATATATATATGTGTGTATGTTATTGTTGGAGGACATAATTACCCTAATAATAATGTATTATGAAGCCAGGTGTGTAACAGCATGTGAATAATTATAGACCGGTAAAACGCAATTAGCAATACATTATTTAAAGACAATATTATGGACAAATACAAGAATTGCTTAGTAAAAAATACATTGAAATTTAAATGTTGTTTTTTTTGTCGACACATTTTTAATAAAACGAACGTTGATGGCGCGGTAACGAACCCCTTACGTTTCCTGTGACGTTTCCATGAACACTAAAATAAATAATTATTGTCATTGTCTGTAGCTCCCCCACCCCTCCGGCTCCCACATACACACACAGACACCCACTCACAAAAAGACAATAATTGCATTTCGCTCTGGCATTGGCCAGCGGCCGAAAGGCAAGCGGCCACACTCTGATCCTCGAATCAAAGCGTTGCTTCAACAGTATCAGCGTCGCCCGAGTCAACAGTCGATGGCCCCCGCGGTGCTTCAGCCGCAGGAGGTTTGCTGCTGCTGTCGCTGAGGACTGTGACCGAGCTGCCTGGAACGGCATGAGACGTCATCGCGCGAGATCCAATGACCTTACTCCACAGAAGTGTGGCACTTTTGATTGTGCGCCAACGATTATGAATTACTCGTGTAGAAAATGGATGTTGCAGCTCTGCATGCGTTAATAGCCGGGATGGCTGAGGGTGCTCGGGTACTAACATAAACACTCATCAGTGGAAATGTGGGACGGAGGCGTTTCGGCTCCTGACATGGATCTTTCTTCTTCGTCTTTTAAAAAAAAAAAAAAGTAAAAGTAACCGATGCACGATGCAATAAAAAACAAAAACTTTATGAGCCCTGTATCGAATTGCCTGTCAGCAACAACATCCCACAATTGATTGGAAGAGGTGCGAAGGCAAAGCGCATGCTTACGCTGCTATTTGGAGCGCGTCCAGTGAAACGTCTTGTATGAACGAAAAGGCGCTCGGAAGTTAATTCCCGAGGTGGGACGGCGAGCTGGCGAGGCACCATTAAAAAAAAGTAGCATATTCACCTGCAGGGGTTACTTGTGATTAGGGACATCATGCTGCTACGTGTTCTACATCCGCAGCATGATTAGATTGGTCAGGTCCTGATGGTTTTCCAGCCCTTTTCTATATTCTGCCAGCGGAATAAACACTCTCTCCTGTCTTCTATTCTTAATCCTCATGGCAGCAGAAAAAAAAGAAGGTTTGAGGATTTAGCCAGCTGTTCTGTGAGTAATCTTATCACCGGCCTCCATTGTGAACATGCAAGGAGTCAAGGAGAGTCCAGAGGAGGGCTCAAGGCTGTGCGTCTTTATCAGCCCCTGTGCATCTTGCACATCAGCAGCAACGACATGTGGGAGCGACGGGGGAGGAGTGTGACCTTGACAGAATGTGGGCGTGTATGTGCACGGTGTAAGAATGCGTTGCAGGCTTGATACGGATCTGATGGCAAATTCATGCCTGTAATTCCTTTTGTAGATCTTAACACCAACTGCGAGATCCCGGCCAACAGCGATCCCCCCCCCGTAAACCCGTTCCCCCTTGCCTCTGCCCCCTCTCAAGGACGGAAGAAAGCCCCCTTCTCTCCGTTTCTCCTGCTCCACCCGTCCCTCTGTGGACGTGAAGTGTCCCGAGCTGACCGTTCCTTCTGTTCTCCTCTCCTCTCCCCCCAGATGGACCCCTGGAGATGCCCCTCTTCCAGCTCATCCCCTCGCAGAGGCAGCTGGTGTTCCAGGGAGACCGCCTGCCCCTGCAGTGCGCCGCCTCCCGCCTGGACCCCTCGGTGGAGCTGCGCTGGCGCCACAACGGCCGCGTGGTGGCGACGCAGGAGGAGTGGGGCGTCTACGTGGAGGAGACCCTGCTCCACGACTGCTGCCTGCTCACCAGGTACACGGGGGGGGGGAAGGGGTCCTTCTGTCTACCCATCACTCACCCCGTGAGGGCTGTGATTTACCTTTTGGTGTGGTCGCCCTTGATAAGGATCTGAAAGGACAGGGCAGAATTGGCTTGGAGGCGTGCCAACACCTGAGAGGCACAAACTGTGCCCCCCTCCTCCCCCCCACGCCATCACCCCTCTCTCCCCGAGCACTAATCACACGCTAAGAGGAACACAGGCTGAATCCTGATTGCGGTGATAAAGCCACACTGGTTCGGCACATTTCTCCTTTTCTTTTGATAAAAGCCGCAAGCCCTCCCCCCTTGTCCTCCTGCCTTGGTGCTCTCGGTGGTCCACAGCGCGTGTGCACGTCTGCGTGTGTGTTTCAGTGAATGAAGCCGAACCCGGCGGCCCCCGAGGCTCAGGCGCGTTAAGCAGCTCGCTGTAGATTAGTTTAGCCGCTGCCTGCTCTGACTCCGCCTCGCCAGCATGAATATTGATGGAGCGTTGACAGAAATATGTGTCTCCGTGTCAACAGGGCCGCATCTCCCCTCGTCGTGGGCTTTATTCGCCTACAAGGATGCAAGTTTCTTCCCTCCTTGCGGTGGAAGGCGGCGGGCCCATCCCGTGACTGCCAGCGCCAAAGATATCAATATTTCTTTTCTTCTTCTTTTCATTATGTACCAGCTCACTGTTTGACATTCTCAGTGGTCCCTCAGGTGAAAGCACTGCTTTGAATAATTAGACTACCCATTAGAGAGAGTGAGGTTTCAGTAGGTCAGTGGAGCAAAACTTCAGTACTCCTTTATTAACAACAACGGCGGAGAAGGAACTACTTTTCTGCACGATTTTAAAGTAATTTTGACCCCATTAATTAGCAGACATTTGATAGTAGACAATACATAGAAAAATGCTACACAACAGTGGTGAGATTTAGGTGTAAAGTCACTTCTAGGTACTTAGTTCAGAGAAAGGAGATGATTCCTTACTTTGCGGATATGGTTGTAATGTTAATAGAACTCCTCATGCAACCGGCCCTCTTTGTTGGCAATGTACCGACGGACCACCACCCCCTCTCTCAAAAATCCGTCCCCCATAATGTTGACTCTACTTTTCCAGCTCAGTGTCCCAACGGAACGTGATGAATCTCTCATTTCTCACACTCTGATTGGGACCCCCGCTGGCAATTACCCACGGCTCCCCCCGTGTGTACACAAATAATGCTGCCCCCCCCCCGAGTGGAACCCACTCAGGTCATGTTGCTCTTGGCATCACACACGTCTCCCTCCTGTACAGCGAAAGGAGCTCGGAGCGGACCTCGTTTCCATAGCTGATGAGTGTGTAACTGGGCTCGGTCCAACGAAAGCAATCCGCCGTGCTTGAACTGAACTCCACCCTTCAACCCCCGAGCTCTCTCTCAGATTGCGGCGTTGACAGAGACGTGCCGGGGGGACTAAAGTCCTGTGATCTCACCGGTCCAACACTCGTTAAGACGAGGAAAAAAAACCCAACAACCCTGTGGCTAATGTTTTGGCCTTTTGACGTGCCAGACGCCGTCGCTGCTTGACTCGCCACAGTGGACGTGGCATAAGCCATCCGGGCCATGCCGGTCACCTTGAGCGGATGTCCTCCGGGTCAGTCGGCCTCGCCCCCCCGCGTGCCTCATCAGAGGGGAAAGACTGAATACACAGGATTTAGAGCGTGGGCTTTAAGCCCCGGTCTGGATTTGTTTTTGCGCGGCGTTGCAGCAGCCGAGCAGCCAGAGCCTGAGTGACCTCTGTGAAGGGGAACCCGAACCGCTCGGCGCTCCGCTTATCCCGCTTCACGCCGCGTCAGCCGAACGGCCATTTCAGACATTTTTGCTTACCGAAACGGGCACGAAGTCTTGTCTCTTTGTTCGCAGCGTTTTGGATTGTACTGTATTTAGTCCCCGTGCATCCATTGCATCTTATTTTGGCGGGCGCAGGTGGGCCGCCAAGCCGATCCGTTTGCGTTGCTTGCGGTGAGCCGGAAAGGCCACAGGACGCCCGATGGCCCGGCGAGGCCGGCCAGGCTCCTGCCGAGTAACGCTGTCAAGCCAAACTCCGTGGGACAAGCCGGTTATTCATGTTTCATTAATCAAACATGTGAGAGCCCTGTAGCAAGCTACAGCAGACACTTTGGATGTATTCTACTTAATCCTCTCCATGTTTAATCAGGCTAATCTCGCACAAAACCATGAAGCTGGTTTGGTGGCATCACTGAAGGCGGAGAGAAAAAGAGACTCTTCTGCTGGTGATCTCTCTAAAGCGCTTTCCACTCTTAATCTCTGCTCCTGCTTATAAACATAAACTATAATTTGATTAAATTCTACCATCATCTTTTTTCCGTTTTCATTACGTTCGTGTTTTTCGTTAAAACCGTGCCTCCGTGGCACTTTTTGTTTATTTTCCCTGTTATTCCTGGCATAAATCTTGCTGTCGGTTCTCATGCTTCTGTGCAGCACCAGTTGCCAAGGAGACCAAATTGATTATGTCCACATATATGCAATTCTACCTCCGGGTTCATCCTTTTACGAGCCAGTTTCAGTCAGCAAAGGAAAATGAAATCTCTTAGTTTCCCGGGTTAGAGTTCAAGAAGGCCGCAGTGAAATGATTTAATTTTTGTCTTTTTGGCAATTGGCTGTGAAGAGTATTGAAGAGAGTAGGTTAAGAAGAGGAGCTAGTCTGATACACCCCAAAGGGAAAAGTCATTGTAAACGGAGTGAATTCTGCCCTAATGTGTGTACGTCCATGTGCATATTGATTTATATGTTACAGGCAGAATGCACTGCTCATCCAAATGTTCAAGGAGACTCGGGTTGACGCGCCGTCCTCCCCAGCTGGGACGGACCACAAATTCACCAACTGTGATCGGCGAGCTTGTGTGAAAATGTCCCGGCTTTTGAGACATTAGCTGGGCGGAGAGGACGGATTGAAAGTTTACAGACCCGTAAGCAACATTATGTAAACAAATTGTTAAATATCAGTGTAAATGTTCCCTAATGAGTCCTCGGGGAGCCGCTCCACAATGGTGCAGTGTTGCCAGGGATGTAGGTCAGTGCTTTGTTCACGGCTCACGTGTGTCCCTGCCCTGCTGCTTCTCACATAACACAGACTTTTTCTTCATAGGTTTATTTACGAGTGGATGACATTTTCGGTAAACTGGACAAGCTGTTGGAATGCTTTTCCTCCGATTCTCCTTGTTTTGTCTGGGTGCAGCAGTTCACCGGGGCGTTTGTGATCAGGGTGCAGCAGGATTCGCCTTCTTGTGGGGAAGTTTTGCTCCTTGAGGCAAAAGGGGGAGTCCGTATGCAGAGCCGAGGAAGAGGTGTGTTCTTGCGTGTGTGTTTTTTGGGATGTGTGGAGAGCGAGGAGGTTCCCTGTGTGTTTTCCCAGCATTCAGACAGTTAGCTCATGTTCACCGATGATGTAACCAATCCCTGCAGACCGTTCCTGGTTGAGAAAGGACACGTTCAGCAGCTCTGTCAAATCACCCCTAAAGCACACAGTGGAAAGGTACACGCGCAAATCACCAACGCACCACAACCCCCGTCATCCTAGGGGTCGACGTGGCGCAGGGGTAGAGAGGGTAAGAGAGGGCAAGGTTGGCGGTTTGAGCCCCCAGTTGCTGTTGAATGTTGAATTGTCCCTGAGCAAGACACCAAACCCCTAACTGCTCCCCGGGCAAAAATGCTTTGGATAAAAGCATCAGCTAAATGATCTGTAATGTAATCATCATCATCATCATCATCATCCCAAAAAATTAAATTACTCTGTTTGGTTTTATGCACCAGCACTATGGCACCAGTCATAATATATTAGGTGTTTATTCCTTGATTGTAAATAAATGACCTAAAAGGTTTCATGATGCTTCAACAGTTTTTGAAGAGTGAACAGCGTGTTCTGCTCAAACCCACATTAAGCCACTTTAATGTGGTAAATAATAGTGCTGAAATCTACTGAGATGGACCAAGACTAAGACTAGGTAACTTCCTGTTATTTATAGTAACATAAAGCAGGAAATGTAAAAACAAAAACAAAACAATTATAGATGCCGACTAGACGGATGTAAAAACATATCAGTAAATTTTGACTGAAAGTGTCAGCTCATATCTTCCCCACATACAGCACAGATCGCTGCCATTCCTCAGTAACTCCCCAGCAACGCTGCTTAGGCAAGAGGAGTTTGAGCCACTGTTGCTGCTACCAGCAGCTCCAGTCTGATGAGCATGACTAACCCATTCGGCCTTCCCCTTTGCCTCCCAATATGCCGTGTTTAGAGCAGCTTTTCACACAACCTTTGTCCTCATCGTGGTTCGTTACAAACTGTTGCACTGCTGCACATGCAGACAGCTGGACTCAATTTAAAGCCTGTTCACACTTTACGATTCAACGTTGTGTCCTGTGGAAGAAGGTGGAGGTAGAGAGGAGGAGAGTGGGACGATGCGTTCGATGCAGAACACGCATGTGAAGGGGAGGTAAGAGTTAAGGACATCATCGCAGTTTGAGATTCTACCAGTGTGCCCCGAATCCGTCCTAATGGCATCAAAAAGCTCCACTCCGAACTGCTCAGTGATTGGTGCAAAAGCTTTTGTTTTAAGGACAAGAACCGACAATACGCAAAAGCTAAAAAACTTCACACGTGTTTAGAGACACACACACGCGCACACACTTCAGTCAAGCGTTTGAATCCGATCTGGGGTCTTTTAGAAAAGCAATCAGAAAACAGAGCTTTAGAGGAAACACGGGAGATGAAATCGGGACTTATTTTATTCATTGGAGCGAAGACGCGGGATGTGAGCGGCGCTCTCTGACTACTGCTCGTCTTCTCTGACAAAACAAGCAGCCGCGAGGCCTCCGGCCCGAGCACAATGGGGACCTACTGTAGTCTTTAGCTGGACAGGTATTAGATCCAAAACAACTGGTATCGTCTGAGAGCATTTCACTTAACTGTCTCTGAGTATTACTCTACAATTACTAGTCATTCATTTTTAATGCATGTCTGTGACTTTCGATGTTTCCAAAGTGATTACTTAAAGCTGTGGTGAGGAGGAGCTTCTAACAGGCTGTCGACTGGTTAGACTGGTCTGACAGACTGCTGCAGTGATACGAGAGATCTCTAAAAGAAATCTGGTGCTCTGCAACATTGTGGGCTGAGCCTAAAACGGTTGTACTGGTCATAAGCATGTTGGGACAGAGACGGCAGGGGAGACAGAAGAAGACCAAGTGAAGGCCTTTCATCCACTGAGAAGGTTTTCTGGAATCACAGCTTCTCCACACGAGAGCGTCTCAGCCACTTATCACCTTTACTCTGAACGATTGCAGATTCTTGTCTGGCGCGTCACTTTATCGCTTTCCAACTGTCCTACATTCCACTTATTTCGAGCGTTCTCCCCATTCTCTCGTCTATATGTTTTATACGGTATTGGGTGGGTATGCCGTGTTGTTTCCAATTATCCACACAAAGTAAGGAGTATATTTTTTGTTCATGGAGATAATCCTCATTGGTTAGCAATCTCCGGCAGCTTTTTTTTTTTCATAAGGAGTAAAATACTCAAGATTAGTCGCCTTGGCAAATGGCCTGTATTGGCTCAGTGTCACTGTTTCACCGTTCTTTGTTTAATCAGGCCTTTTCCTTTGGGATAGGAATCGCTGTGACAAAGTAGGAAAGATAAGCATGAGTAATGATCCTCTTGAGTCACGGGAAACCTCTTAAGCCACCGCATGCTCAAATGCACAAGGGGGTCTCTATATGAAATCGATTTTGAAGGCATACAAACACATTCACACACATTTTCCACGTGAAGAGGAGCTTCCACTGACTGCAGAGCCCTTAAGACTTAGCGTAACCAGTGCATACCTGTAATTCTTTATTATAGAAACAAAAAAATCCAACTCACCTTCAATTCAGAACCTGACACACAGATAATCCTAAATCAACATTTAACCTTTTTAGTGATAATTTGAAGCTCACAGGAAGAACACACACACACACACACGCACACATGCCCCTTAGTGTAGACACATAATCCACCCGTCATGCTCACAGTTTCACGCCTCTGCTCTCCTCCAGTGAGGTCATCCTCTCCAACATCGACGTGGGCATCGCTGGCATCTGGGAGTGCCTGGTGACCAGTTCCCGTGGCAACGCTTCTCAGCAAATGGAGATCGTTGTTCTGGAGACGTCGGCACCCTACTGCCCCTCGGACAGAGTCACCAACAACAAAGGGGACTTCAGGTGAGTGACCTCACACCTTCAGCATGTTGAAGTGCAGATTACACAAAGGAGTAGTTTGAATTTCAAGAAATACACGTATTCACTCTCTTGGCAAGAGTGAGATGAAATAATGTTTATAAGGTAAATAGAGGAACTCAAGGATAACACAATTTTGCAGGACGTCCCTGGAAGAAATGCACTGGTTTCCTTAACCCAACAGCTTCTACATTTTCAAATGAATATCAAAGTATTTAATGATTTAAAAGAGAAATCTCGTAAGCTTGTGTTAACCACCGACTTCGCCGGCATCTACCCACAAAACATTACATGTCATTTAGCAGACGCTTTTATCCAAAGCAACTTACATTACCCATGGCGTTTTCACATTTTGCCCAGGGAGCAATTGGGGGTTAGGTGTCTTGCTCAGGACACTTCAAACATGGAACATGGGGCAGCCTGGAATCGAACCAACAACCTTGCGCTTTCCAGCACACCTTCTCTAACCCCTGCGCCACAACAACCCAACTAACTAACAAAACATAAAGGATAACCCATTTACGGGTTCTACGACTCATTCCTGCAGCACACTAGAATGTATTAAGCCACCAGGTTGGCATACTGTTAGTGTGGCTCAGTCCAAACGTACACAAAATCCTCCTACCAAAACAAACATTCCCATCAGCACCAGGGGTCCTCTCTATACGCACGTCTTTGTACCAATTAAAAAAACCAAGATAGACAGAGGATATCACATGCGTACGGACTGTATAGGCTTCTGAGGCCAATTTGTCATTTGTGATTCTGTGCTACACAAAATATAATGAATTGAATTGTGTTGTTAGGCAGATTGCGGCACATTAAGCAGAGCTTGTTGGCTGTGGCTTCATATTATGCATGAACATGCTGAATTTAATCAATTCTTCTCATCCGTCCTTTTGAAAACACCATATCGTTGGATCGCGAGTGTATAGTTCTTTATGTACCAACTAGTTCAGTGTAATTAGTGTTAACGGACAGTACTCCAAGACCAGGAGGTCTCCTACAAAGTAAGGCACTATATGCACTGTAATTTAGTCACCAGCCCTAATTACAGACCCTATATACACATTTCGGCTGCAATCAGTGGACTCACCCCCTCTGCCATTATCTACCCATGTAGAGTGCAGTTGGGTCACTTAAGTCGGCCTCTTACTGCTGTCCTGCTGCTTTTTGTTCCACCTGACAAAAACCTTCCACGGCGCCTCGCCACAGATGCAGCTCATTAACCGTCAAAGGACCAGAATTGAGTGCGTGCAGCAGCGTTCATAGAACTTGGTAGTAATTGGATACATGATATGAAAACGCGCACTTACATTATGGCTCAATGTGTTTCAGCTTCCTAAGAAGAAAAAAAGAAGTTCACATGTTCCCATGAACACAAACTGCTCACCTCCTTGCCCTCCACCTCTCCTCCTTTTCTCCTTTCCGCGGCTCTTCGTCACCACCTTGAAACTTGGTGGTCGTACAGACCCTCCCCACCAACCCGGGGCCCGGGCGGTTGTCGTGTACACTCCTTTTTGTAGCCGGCGTGCTCTACGGCCCACTTCCAGCGCAGCGTGCGCGGGGGGCTTTGTTTCTGCTGGAGCATTGGAGTAATGGCCTGGAAAATGAGCCCCCTGCTTTGTTGGGACGAAAATTAATGCAATTTATTACTAAGTAGCTTCCGCCGCCGCTGCAGCACAGGTGGAGGAAGAGGAGGGGAGGATAAGAGAGAGAGAGCGGTGGGGGTGCGATGGCAGGTCTCTACCCTCAGAACAGATTACCTGCCTCCTGAGGGCACGGCTCCTTTATTTTCATTAAATGAAGTCAAAAGAGTTTGCCGCTGTAAGCTTTGCTTTGCCGTAGGAGTTTGACGTTGCCTTAAGGGGAAGAACACAAAGCAAAGGATGCATGTTTCTCCTCTGATTGTGGATAAATTGATCGATATGCGTGAGAGCAAAGAACTCTTTCCTAAGGCCTCGCAGGCGTCCGGCGCCAAAGAAACGCGTGAAGCTCTGCGGCTCTTTTTTACTACCAGGCTATTGTAGTGGAGTGCAAATGTTTGGCTGACTTTTCACCCTCAAATGAGTTTTATTTTATTGAAACACTAACAGGCATCGCGCGGAAAATGAAAGCGTTCCATTTTGCCGTAAAATAATCACCCAGGCCCCCCGATCCCAAGTCGGTCAGTGGAGCGGCTCCAGGATTGGCTCTTGACGACATTATTGACAAAGTCTCATTTCCTGCTTCAGAGGAGACTTCATTGAACTTTGCATGGCCGTACGAACACCGCCCGTAATTACTCTTTCAGGGGGAAGTTTCCCCTTCAGGAAGGAACCGGCACGAGGTGCTTTTTCTCCTGCGGACCGGCGTCCTTCTCTCTCTCCCAGTAACCCGCCTCCATGAATTTGTCGCACCCAAGATTGACGTTTCCCACGATTCAATCAGATCGCTGCTCGTTGAGTTGCCATTTCTTTTCCTTCTCGGCCCACAGTTAGTTAAATAAGAATAAAATTCCAATGCACAGTTTATTTCCACAGGCGGAGTATTACTCCCCATTAAGTGGAAACACAAAGCCAATTATTAAAGATAGCTAATTAAGTCACAACCAAACCAAAATATTGTATCACAATCAAGTATCAGAATCTGCAGTCCTCTGCAAAAAAAAGTAATTAGACGAGCTATAAATCAAATATGCAAATGAACCCTTTCCTTAGCACAGGGAGTATGAAATTGCCATCTGGTGCCGCGCGTTCCCACACTCGCTTCACCGACTGATATCTCGTGCGGCAGGTGGCCAAAGACCCTAGCCGGCATCCTTACCTTCCTGCCCTGCTCCGCCCCCCGCCCGTCCGGCGGCGGCCATCACCCCTCCGGCCAGAAGGCGAAGAAAGCGTGGCGGAGCTGCGACCGCGCCGGACGCTGGGCCGAGGAGGACTACACTCAGTGCCCGTACGCCAGCCAACTGACCCGCGTGCTGCACGAGCTCACACAGGTACGGAAACACTTCTCGTGCCTCTGAGTGGCAGGGGGATCCTCTCCCAACGCGTGTTCAGCATGCCGACCTTGACACACATTCGCCGGGGTCTCCGGACTGTTGCGAGCGCCGATCACTTCACAGAATCCTAGAACAGGAAAACCAACGTCCCCGCCTCCGTAGCCCGGAGGTGTTTGCTCATCTGTACGCGTCGGCCTCTGCGTACATGATACGAGCCGACAGACACGCAGCACTCATGGGAGTACAGCACCACATTAAAGCCTCCAGGTCCAAAAGCACATGCATGGCGTGAACAGTGAGAGGGATTTATAATTTATTACATGTTGTCAAAGCTGTTTCATGTGCCGGCGGACTGTGTGATCATCTCGTGTTTCTCTAATTTCACTGCTTTATGGCTGGGCCTCATTCCAGGCCCGTGCTGAAATATGTCCTTTGAATTTAATCTCAAAACTGTACCTTAGCTCCCTACAAAGCTCCGCACATCAGCATGAATTAGATACATGGGAAATATGTCCCTTTTAACAGTGTGTTGGGTAAAAAACAACAGGAGTGGCCTTTCATTCCAACTACGTGACGACTGCTTTATTAGTTAATGGCAAATGAATCAAAGCACACAATGCCAAATTGTGTCCTCGGCTACCATGTGACCAGTAGCTGGTTAGCAACCATTTCTGCAGCGCTCACACAGATAACATTATCTCCCCTGCCACTGAATGTGTGTGTGTGTGAGTCACAGGATGTTGATGATGGTGCAAAGTTAACAATGAATACGGAGGAAACGCTGGCTCCCCCTCTGAACTGCTGCTGACCGCTTGCCTGCGTCTTCCAGATCCCAGTGAACGCCACCAACGCTCAGCCTCTGGGCCAGCAGTTGGTGGCCTTCACCAGCAGGGCGGCGCACTTCACCGACGTCATGGACGTCATCTTCGTCACGCACCTGGTGGAGAGGCTGACCAGGCTGGTGGAGAAACGTAGAGACGTGAGTGTGGGCGCACGCGAGGAGGAACCGCGCATGGTCAGGTTGTGCAGAGGGGGGGGGGGGGGCTGCCTAGCTCAGTCAGGGAAAAGAATCCATGTTCGCTCAGACTCGTCCAATTACTCCTCGTTGGTCAGTGGGGAGGAGACATTATGACGAGATGCTTCAAGTTTTATTATTCCCCGAGACAATATGGATGAGACCACCCTCATTCATCCATAAAGACCAGTTGACAGCCACATGAGAGTTCAGTAGTAAATAGCGAACTGCCGTCCCAGGGAAGCGATTAGGCCCCATTGGCGCTGTTAATCTAAATTAAATCTCCCCATAATGAATGAAGCCACCATTTGTCTCCCTCCCAATTCTGACTGCAGATTATAAATGTGCCTGTTGTTGAGGATGTGATTGATGTGCATGATGAGTCTGCCTCCTCTTGTGTGCGCGCGCGGGGGGGAGGGTTTCGTACGGTAGCGGTTGTGCGGTTGTCCCGGTGTATTTCACACGCCTCGTCTCCACAGCTGGGGGACTACGTGTCCGACGTAGCCAGCAACATGATGCAGGTGGAGGAGCACATCCTGTGGATGGCGCAGAACGAGGCCAGAGCGTGCACTCGCATCGTGCAGTGCGTGGAGCGCATCGCAGACCTGGCGCTGAGTGGAGACAATCAGGTCATTTCCAAGGTACATGGCGGGACACACACACACACATACAGACTCATGGCCACACTCAGTCAGGGCGAAGGTTGATTATCTGACTAAATGTCCCATCGCCTTACCCTTTTTTCTTCGCAGCCTGGAATAATGAGAAGTTAATATGGCTTTAGCAGATAACTCGAATAAGGCGAGGGGAAGATAAATTGCTTCCTTTGTTTCCTCTTGCTCCCCGTCTTATTTTGGCTCTCTCTGCTATCTCTTGGGATAAAAGTATCTGCCTAATGACGGATATAGAAATCTCTTCAGCGGCGCCCGACTCCTTAATCTCGGGATTCTCAACCCTCCCCACCCAGGTGTCTGCGAACATCGCTCTCGAGGCCTTTCTGATCCGGCCGTCCGACTTCCTCGGCCTGTCCTGCACGGCTCTTCAGCGGCCTTCCCCCTCGCCCGCCACCTCGCCCCCCGCTGACAGCGGCTCCCGCGCCGACAAGGACACGAGACGAGAGCGCCGTGCCCCGGACGAATCGTTGCTCATCTTCAAATGCCACACTGTCAACAGCAGCGGCTCACCCGCCAGCCAGCTCAGCAAGGTAGGGCTCCGGCTAATAAATGGTGTGAAACCTTCTCAAATATGCTGCTCTGCTCTTTTTCCGGCCTCTGTTGGCGAAAAATCCACCAAATCCAGCCCGAGGTCAGGAAACCGCGTTCTCTATGTCTCCCTCCCAGCGGGTATGTTCTTGTGGAAGGCCGCTCTTTGTTCAAATGCGGCAGTGAGAGAAGAAGGGCAGAAGGAGAAATAAAATATGAGTTAAGGCAGGGCGGCTTATACAGCAGCTCGTGGGCACGAGGAAATGAATCCTCCAGCCCCACACAGTTGAAGTACGCGGGAAGGATTACCGGCCGCCCGGGAGTTTGCTGTCGCCCATTTGTCGCTGCAAGGTGACACCTTGTTTGGGTCCGTTGGTACGCCGTCGATCAGCTGGTGAGAGGCGGGGGTTGCAGCGGGGCCAGGGCCTGCAAACACAACGGCCATTTGGGTGTCAACAGAGGTGCCCCCCCTCCCTCGTCCCCCCCGTCCTCCGGGATGAATAAGATGGCCTTGGGTCCGTGTCATTTTAAATCCATCGGTGGCCGTTCCAAAAGACAAACCGCGACAGACGGGGGGAGGGGCGGGGGGGGACTCGGCACCTGCAGTCGACTCCCCTGGCACTGAAGTGGCATAGCGCTGCAACATCTGAAAGGTTTGCCCCCCTCCAGCTATTCTGCTGATGAATCCATCAGAGCGTGCATCAGGGGGAGAGAGAGTGCATTGCTGAGCGCTTCGTCTTTGAGTCTCAGCGCTCATTTCATTTCCTCTCATCTTCTTCTCCTCTGTCGAGACACGTGTCGAGTCTCTGCAGTTCTGTTAGCAATTGCGGCACTTTGTTTGGAGTGTGTGCATGTATATGTATGCCTTTATGTATATATGCATTTCTGTGAGTCATTCTCACAGGGAGGAAAACTGCTGCATTTCTGAATGCGGGAAGTTTGCCCTGAATACCGTCTTGTTAACTTTGTGGAATTGCGAGTCAAATGTGGAGAACACATTTCTCTTGTGGCACGTTTCCACCGAGTGGTATGGTACGGTACGGTACGGGTCGGTACGGGTCGGGTCTGTTAACCATGATTTGGCGAGCGCTTCCGTCCTTGGTGTCACTCCAGAGCTCCGACAGGTTTCTCTAACTGAAGTTGGGCTGTTGGGCATAAGCCTCGAGCAGAATGGGATTTGTCTTTTTGTAAAGTGTAAATGTGAGAGGAGGCTTTGACCTGTGCTGCTCCCCAACACTTCTAATCAGTGGCTAATCTCAGGCGAGAACCAATGTCCTAAAGCAGTGTGGCAAAGATTCATGTTTGCTCATCGTGATGCAAGAGACCCCCCCCCCCCCCCTCCCCCTCGTTGGTGGTGATTTACGGTTTTGAAGCTCTTTGTTTTGTCCATTTTACTTTTTTACAAACAGTAGAGAGACGAGGGGACTGGCCAACGCCTTGGTGGCAACCTGTCCATCACAGGGGACCCACACCCTTAAGCATGCTGTGCTTAATGCTCTGTTTGACTCTTAATGCGCGTTATTAAATGAACATCAGTGTTGATGGGAACCGTGAGGGGAAGAAGTGTAATACTATTTCCAGCTCATTTGGCACGCGGAATGAACACCGTCCCAGGGCGAGTCACACTCTCACACCTACAAGCTGCCCCCTTTCCACAGCTCCTGCCCCTCTGCAACAGTTGTGGGGTGAAGCACTTTATTGTTAAGGGACATGAAAGTGACTCCAACAGCCTGTAAAAGGGCTCTAGTTTGTTTAAGGTACCACAAGCCACCCCATCTCTCTCTCTCTCTCTCTCTCTCTCTCTCACGCTACCATTCACACGGCATGTGGGAAAGTCTCTCAGGCCGAATACTTTAGCAGATGCTCCGTCTCAATCAAAGGACACTTGTGTTGCTGAGATGGTGTGAAAACTGTCGCTAAACAGAAAAACACTCCCCCAGGAACTCTAATTTACTTCTAATGTGATACTCAGTGTACAGAATGTGTTGGTTTGTGAACTTGGAAAGACGAAAGAGACATGCTATGATTGCACTTGTGTGTGTAACAGGGGAAGTTAGAGGAATATGTGAGGACTCAGGAGGCAGCTGGTGGCTAAGGAGTGATATACAGCCCAGATAAAGATCTGCATCAAAGTCATCTGGAGCAGGATTCCACAAACACTCACTGGGTTGTTGATTCTAGTGGACACCTTTAGGTGGACGGGTGGAGGACGGTTCGAAAAAACAAAAAGCAGCCGTTTTTGGTCACAGTTTTTACAACGAGGTGATGGACTCACAGAGAACGTGGCTGAGCAAAGCATGAAGATCTTCCTGATGGAACATTTATTCAGCTGCATGCAGACAAGAACTATGGTTTCCTCTTTTTTACTATACATGTGTGGGTGCAACATACTGAAATTAAATGAATATTCAATTTTAATTGCATAAAAATGTAAGATAGCTGGGGTCCCATGGACGCGCAGGGGCAATTGGTGCAGCATAGACATGCAACACATTCAATATTAATGAACTTTGAATAAACAAATAATAAGTCACCGCTCTTTTTCAACTGTTGGCTCCAGCTTATCGACTGCACTATAGTTTAGCTTGAGCAGTTCACAGCTAACACTCCAAAGTGTGTCTCTTTCTGCTGGAATAGATATCTTTTTAATGAGTTGTTTCTGATGCCTTACAGTAGTGCCCCCCCTGCACATCGTTTGGCCGAGACAAAGCTCATGATTGTGGTCCTCGCATCAAGCTGCCTGAGCCGGTGTTGAGTTGGAGGATGAAGGAGAGTTGCATCCAATTGAAGCAAAATGAAGCAGAGCTGTAGATGTTATGGCAGGAGGTATAATGTCAAAGATTAAAGTGAAGCCAGCAGCTATTCTTTACTGAGAACCAAGACCTGCTGGGGGCTCTGTCCCCCCCTCAACCATGTTCAGTGCAAACTCAAACCCTTTGGTTTCATCAGACATGACGTTCAGGAGCGCAGGAATGAATGCACATGCTATGCACACACACACACACACACACACACACGTTCCCATGTGACTCATCAGTCAGTCTGTCTCACACTCCGTTTAACAGCACGCAGTGAAGGCTGAAACAGCCGCTCAGCACCACGGCTTGTTATCCACAAAAAGAGAGATACAGATACAAAGATACAGACAGGCAGAAACGGAGGATTGAGGCAAAGGAACCGTGGTCTGATGTCATCGCATGATCACAGAATGTATGCCTCAACACTGCCCACAGGTATGAGGAAGGGCAACATGTTTTTACGTTGTCTGACCGTTTTCACCGACGCGACATCTCAGCAAGACCTTGAGGGAAATGTCTCTTTGGATGTGACCTCGTCTCCGTCCTCTCAACCCAATAAAAGTGTTTCTTTGCACTGGTGATCAAAGGTCACGTTGGCCTCACAAAACACTGTTATTGGCCATAACTCAAGAATTCTTCTGTTAATTATGACGATTTTAATCTTAATAGGTTCCACATAACGACTTGATGACTGTTTGAACAGAAATGGATTCTACCACGTTGACCAAGTGTCAGATTATAATTAGTATTTGAATGGTACGTACAGTAAATGAAATGTAAGTGAACTGAAAGATAAACACGTCCTCATAGAACTCAAGTGTTCTGTCATTAACTAGAACTTTTTCAGAGGGGCTTTAAAAGTGATTAATGGGCCGGCTCCTAAAAAAACGGCCTGCTTCCCATAAACTAGGGTCCTTTTACAGGCTGTTCCCTCCGTCCCCGTGTGACTGGCTGAATGACTGAGTGATCTGCTCCCCATCTCACTCTGGCGCAAGCTGAGCACCGTTTAGAGCCGCTCGGGTCCAACTGGACTAAGACACACGGCATATGGCCCTGCTGCGCCAACACCCTTGCCAAAGAGTGACGTGATTAAACGCAGCCTTGCGGGCTCACTCAATGCACTCTATTGTAAAACTATTTGTCTCCCGGGTTGACTTCTGTTTTTTTTTTGGTTTTTTTTTCCCAGAAAACATTTTTCAAACTGTTGCAGAGGAAGGTCAAAAGAAAGAGAGGGCTTTTCTTCCAAAGTTTAGAAATGATACAATGGTTAGAAAGTACGTGATACAATGTGTGTGTGTGTGTGTGTGTGTGTGTGTGTGTGTGTGTGTGTGTGCACGTGCACGCTTTTTCCTTCAGAGGTTTTTATGGAATCCATAATGATCATGAGCAATCCAGGTGGTGAGATGACACAAGTTCAGTCTGGCCCGAAGTGTCATCTCTCCACTTCTGCCTTCAAGTGTCTCCTTGTCGTTTTCTGTAAGCAATCAAACTAACACCAAAATACCACTGAAGAAGAAACAGAAATGTAAGAAAAAACCAAATGTTGGAGGAACAGTTGTGCTGAGCTCTTCACTCGAGGTGCAGCTCAGATGTTGACTTGTGTGACAGAAGAAGATCCAATACTGGTTGGCGTTCATGCTTCAATGACAAATACAGTATGTTGAGGAGCGAATGAGTCGCGAGAAAAAAAATGAAGGGATCACAAGAGGTGTGCTTAAATCAATTAGACCCATTGGTGTAACTACACGCTGTACACGGCCTGTAAATCACCAAAGGCATGAGGATTGATTGTTGAAGATGAACATCTGTAGCAGATTTCATTGGAATTGATCGCTAGGTTCTTCACATATTTCCGTTTGGAAGTTTGTCATTCCAAGAGCCAAGTCGTGCGACGTGCCAAGAACCACAATATCCTGTGTGTCTGTATGACGGGTGAATATAAACCAAAGAAAAGGAGACTTAAACGCACGCTTGAATGTATCAAAACAGCCAAAACAAAAATTGAGTGACAACAAAGTTGATGTTATTTGGGCATCAGTGGGGGGAAATGTGTGTATTGACGCTGTGAAGTACTTGTGCTGTGTACTTGTGCTGCAGACTGCGATGTTCCCACTGCTGATGCTGTGACAGTTTGAAATGATCCTAATGCCAATAATTGTAATGTAGCGAGGAGTCGAACAACTGCTGGAATGGAAGGTGAACGC